CCCTCTACTCTCTCGGCACTCCTTTGAGGGGAAGCACCAAAACTGCTACTGCTATCATCTTCCTGCACAGGCATTCAAAAAAGGCCAGAAGCATTGCCACAGTGATGAAAGGAGAATAGTGCTTCTTTTAGGTTCTCCTAGAACAGAGCTTGATTATTATGTTTGTAAGAAAATGTAGGGATATTGAACATATGCTTCTCCAGGTGTTTTTGAACTGCAGCTCCTTTCAGTGTTAGCTAGTGGAAGGCCATACATTCACTATTCTCTGATCTGGCTGGAAGTTAATTTTAGAGTTTTAATTTTGGAAGATTATAGTTTCTTTGACCTAAATTAAAATTGTAGTCCTAACTAGAATAGATCCATTGAATGAGTTCCTGAATAGTATATCAGGACTTATGGAAATTGCATTGATTCAATGGATATACTCTAATTAGGGCTAGCAACTGGATTTAATTCCAGTTCCAACGATTGTAGTTGGCCTGTTTTGTTGCTTTGAGTTGACTTAGCTTCTTCTACAGGGCTCTGCTTCTTCTTTTAATATGTTTTTTTAGTTGTCTATATAAAACACTAAACATATTTTACATGTCTTTTCCTTACCCTTCTTTATCTCTGCTTATTGTCAATAGTTGGCCAAGTAAAATTTGATCCACCTTTAAGGAAGGAGACAGAGCCTCATCATGAGTTTGTAAGTAACAAAGAGATGTATGGTTTTTGTCGTATGCAGCCATACCGCATAGCTGAAAAATGGTGATTTGTAGCATAACAAAAGAGGGAGAAGCCTGTGAACATGTGTTTCATTCTGTATCGTATACGTTTGTATATAACCTTAAAATTTTAGAGTCACAGTCTGTGTAGTAATTTTCCTAGTTTTGGGGAACTTAATGTGAACCAACATTGCCCTCTAGCCATGAAACACAGCAAACCAAAATTTACATATACACATAACTCTGCTTTAGAGTCTTAACTGGTCACAAATTCTGTGTGAATGTGTAGTGTACTTTTAGGTTTCTGCATGACAGGGGTTGGACTGGATGGATCTTGTGGTCTCTTCCAATTCTGTGATATATCAGAGGAAGGGATTTTAATTAGCATAGTATGTACATCCTCCTAGTTTATTGCTGTGTGTTTTTGATCACTTCGCAGTTTTCCCAGTATCTACTTAGAAAAACATAGCTCCTACTTAACAACCATTTTAGTCCTATTTGATCAGCTCCCCATTTGCATGGAAGGATATGTAATAGCAGTTGGAAGAAGTAGTTACATGAGTACAGTGAATTTAAAGGAGGAAGGATTAAAGAGCCTTATACTATAAGGCTGGATAAAACAGGACACAAAGTATAGAGTGTTCAATAAACAGAAGGTTACAGACCAGACAACATAAGGGCAAAAATATTGAATCTGGTAGATAACTTTCGAGTTGCCTAAAGGCTAATATAGCTGTGGAGGCAGGAACTGGGCAGTGCTGGGAAAGAAGACATCAGATTATCATTTGAAGGCATGTGATCATTCTGGGTCTTTTGAAAATCATCACAAAGGCACCGTAAAGCTATGCCAAGAGATGTGAGTGCCTTCACTCTCCCTAGTTGAACCCAGATTTTTGCATGAACATCATTTTAATTGCCATTCTGTGCTGACACATAGAATTACATGGTCTTTGCCATAGCAGTGCACAGTAAATGTAGTAACTTACTGAGGTTCTGTGGCTTTCATCTTAACTCTCTGTTCCACACCATCAATCCCCCGTACCCTGATCTCCCTACTTCAGGATGGGGACAATGAAGCTACACTCTGGGACTTTACAGACTGCCGGAAATAATGCAGCTTGAGTCCACTTTAACTGCCCTGGCTCAGTGCTAGGGAATCATGGAAACTGTAGTTTTTTCTGAGACATTGAGCCTTCTCTGTCAGAGAGTTCTGGTGCCACAATAAACTACAGTTCCCTTGATTCCCTAGCACTGAGCCAGGGCAGTTAAAGTGGACTCAAGCTGCATTATTTCTGGCAGTCTGCAAAGGCCCTCTGTTTGACATTATCCTTCTAGTATTGTATCCTGAAGTCCCCAGTTGATATCATCCAACAGGATGAACCAGGACACAACCTGGACATTGTGTTGTTTTAGAAATTGCCAAGTATTACAGAGGAATTGACCATTTCCCTGTTCTTCCATCCTTTATCAACTTCCT